ACACACACAAATGACAATTACAACAGACTGCAAATTTAAAGATATATGCTTACATAAGATTTAATTCATAATCTACTAGGATGCAAATATGACCCAAGTTGTAAGATATATGCTTACATAAGATGTAACCAATGAAGACTTCTCGCCTGGAAACAGACAAACTAAAATTGAAAATTGAAACAGAACAAACAAAGTACACATATCCATACACAAACATATGAATGAAACAAACATTTAGACATAAACTGTGCACAAATTCTACAAAAAAAAAAGGCAAGTATAACTTAAACATATCAAGAAATTTAGAGGGTATGTGAAGAAGGTAGAAAGGAATCAGAAAATTTAGAAAGGAAATTAAGATGGAAATCTTGAAAGAAAAACATGACACAACTAGTAATGTACAGTCGAAATCAGTGTTTTAAATACCGTACCGTTAATCATACCGGACGAGCCAATGGCACGCGGTTCAACCAGTTTTAAAACGTCTATTTTATTGATTTTAATAAATATTAAATTAAATTATTTTTATAATATAAATAATGCACACAACTAACTTTAATTAGTATAAAAAATTAATTAACATCTAATAACAATGTAATCATATTAAAATTAAGTGTAAACATTTAATTTATATAAAAAAATAAATCAAAATATATTACTTTTTTTTAAAAAAAAATTGGAATAAAACACTATTTACCAGTAAAACCAATATTTTTCGGTATAAAACTGGTGTAAACCAGTATTTTAGCCAAAACTATATTTAGATTGTAACCGTACCGATCGAACCACCAGTATCGGTATTACTGGCCGATACGATACGATATTTAAAACATTGGTTAGAATTACGAAATTTAGAAAGAAAATTGCGATGAAAATTTTAACCTCGTGCAGTGACAAAGAGGTTGTGTTGGGTGAGTTCCATCATCCTCATCCCTTTCCCTTCGACCACTTGTAAAATTGTCGCTCCTTTCGGCATTTAGGGCTCGAGAAATTTAGAGCTCGAATTAGTATTGTCGCCCTCGTCCTTACACTTGACCCCCAGTGAAATTTTTTACTTATCTTCTTTTCGCCCTCATCACTCTCGAATGTTAGGCTCGAAAATCTAAAATTTTTGCATCGTATGAGAAGAAAGGTATATTTGTCATGTGTTTCACATCATACAATTTTATCATCTTTAGTAATTGCTTGATTTGATTTGTTTTGTTTTAAAATATACATAACATGACACAAAAGCTAACTTGTAAAGTTGATGGAATTAAACTTCAATCAAATCACATTAAGTAAATGAGGCCCAAAAGTAAATCTGGAGTGGTAAAGCCGTAAAGTCCAGCGCGAGCGCTAATTTAACGCGCTCATATTTCGTTTCAGTGTTCGAAACACACATAACCAAAATTTTACAAGCCCCAAATTCACACTCATCCCGCCTAGAAAAACATAGTCGGAACGCACATAGTGAACGTGAGGATCTCTGTTCTACTGGAGTTCTGAAGAAATTCCGGTGGAATTTTACTCTCCATGGCTGAAAAGCTGCAGCAGCAGCTGATAGAACTGGGATCCAGCTTGGAGAAACCTCCTTCTTCAGCAGACGCTTTGGTTGAACTCTTGAAGGTGAGTAGCTCAATGATTTTTTTTGTGTGTTTCGTTTTGCCTTCGAATTTTCTAAGGAAAAGATGATGTTAAACATTAAGCAATTAATTTATGTCCGTTTTGAAGCACCGTATATGGATGTATCCTAGTAATTTGTGAAAATATTGTGTTGCTATGTAACCGGTGTTATATTAGGTTCGTTCCAGCGTTCTATCTGCCTTTGTTGTTTCTGCAACTAAGGGAGAAAGTGCGTGGATTTTCAAGAATTGAAGTGAATTTTGAATTGAAGCCTGTACTACAAGTTCAATTTTATAGGTGCATGTCCCTGAATTGTGTAACTTGTGGATTTTTTGGGAGGTTCAACTGAATTAGGTCTCATTTAGTGTCTGTGAGAAATTTATTCCCCAGGGTTGAAAAGACAGATCATGTTAAAGGAGTTATCTTCTTTTACATTTTTTTGGTAAGGAAATCCGTAGAGCCCTCTTGGCATAAATTGATGTGTATTCGTTTTAAGAAAATAGATAGATAAAATACGAGTTGATTTAGTAATTTTTTTTCAGACTACGGGACATGTATATGGATATTGTTGAATTCAAGGAGAAAAAAGCGACAGTTGTGTAGCCTATAGGATTATAGTAGTAACTCTATACTTTATAAACATTCCAGTTTTGTTCCGGCTTCTCGCTGCACCTTATTGGGCGAAGAGGGTCAGCGCTGGTATGTCATTGGCAGTTCTTTCATTTTACCACATTGGTTTACGTTTTCATAAAAAACATTACATTTCTGTCGTATCCGCTCACGATCCAAGAAATGTATGCTTCATCGGAAATTAATTTCTAAAAAGGATAAACTCTCTCTCTCTCTCTCATGAAAAAGGAGGAAGAAGAAAGTTCCAGTTGAGCTTCTTTTGCAAATTATAATTGAATGATAAATGCTATAGCTTTTTAAAGAATATGGGCCGGCAACTAGTCCGATAATCAGAACATATCTGCATTTCCTTGTCTACATTTCACTGCAAGGAAAAACTTGTATTAGAAAATTTGTAAACCGTTTCTGCTTATCTCATAAGGCTCCTTCATCCATTCATTCATTTGAGACGTTGTGTATGTACACATTTTGCAGACTATATAATTGAATGATAAAGGCTATAGTTTTTTAAAGAAACCGGCTTGGTAACTAACCCTATGGTCAGAACATATCCACATTCTCTTGTCTACATTTCCCTGCAAGGAAAAACTTGTATTAAAAATTTGTGCAAATTGAGCCGTTTAGCTTATCTCATAAGGCTCATTCATTCATGAAGACATCCTGTATGTATACATGTAGAACATGGTTTCTGCTCCAAAGCAACAAATATTGTTCAGGAGTAATCTTCAGGTTATAATTTACATGTCAGACAATATTGGATTTTGACACGTAATACTATTTGAGTTTGGCTCAAATAGAATGAACTTCTGAAGTTTCCATGTTTTTTTGAAAACCATATTCGACATCAGCTTGTGATCTTGTAATGTGAAACTTCTTCTCCTCCCGCAGCAAGGTGTGGCATGCCTATCTGAGTTGGACCAGTCACCTCCAAAATCAATGCTGGAGGCCATGCAACCTTTCTTAAATGCAATTGCCGAGCCAGCACTTTTGAATCATCAGGATCAAGAAGTAAAACTTTTTGTTGCTGCTTGTCTGTGCGAAATAACTCGAATTACTGCACCGGAGCCCCCTTATGATGATGATACTTTAAAGGTGATTCTTTGTTCTGGAGCATAATAGTTAATAGAAATAACTCAAGAATACGCTCGTTTTCATGGATGTGAATGACTTATTTTCTGATTCTTTCTGTTTACTCTATTTTAGGATATTTTCCAATTGACTGTCAGTACTTTCAGTGGCTTAAGTGATACAAGGGCCCCGTCATTTGCAAATAGAGTTGTTATTCTTGATACTTTGGCAAGATACAGATCCTGTGTGGTGATGCTGGATCTTGAATGTGATGATCTCATAAATGAAATGTTCAATATCTTATTTGCTGTAGTCAGGTACAACTTTCCCTCCTTTGAGTAACTGAGTTTTATTTCATCCTTCATGGAATTTTATTTATTCATGCTGCTCACGAGAACTTCGCTTCTCTACTTTATATAGGTCGAGAGAAGTGCTTTTAGTTGTTTTATCATTTTTTCCCCATACTTGTCAGATATGAACTATGCTCCAGTTTTACTTCCTGACTTTCTTATTACGTGAGCACAGACATAAACTGTAATCTGATAGTACATATTTGCATTGCCGAAGGGTTTGCCTTTTTTTTTTTTGGGTGGAGAATGCAAACTTTTACTTTCTTCTCTTGTTGTCTCTCTTTTTCCTGTCCTTTTGTTGGTTACTTCTTTGACCAAGTTAAGCTATCCTCATTTTCGTGTCATTTATGGGTTACGATTTCCTGTGAATAATTTAGTGAGGTAAGGAACTTTTGAGGACGATGAAGAGCTTATTCTAGTTTCTTGGTTGATAAACAAACCAAGAGTGTTTTCTGGGTTCATAGACAAAGGTATCAATTTGCTTGCCTGTACAAAAGATTTGAGGAAACCACTCTAATGGTGATACTACAGATGGATAACTGATAAGTGAACTCATTCTAAAGTTGACATGGCAAGTACTTTAGTGACCTGATTGGAGAACTTTACTGTTTATTGGTTCTTTTTTTTTTTTTTTTTTTTTT